GTCTTGTTGTTCCAATACACAGGAGTTGAGATGTCATTCTAATTTTCATTAGTAAGCTCGTTTCCTGTTGACTTGCAATGTTGTATTGCAGTTGAGTTGAGACGAGAAATGGAAGTGGAGGATGTGAGTATGAAGAAAATTTCGGACAACGAGCAAAGGAGGCGAAAACTCCATGCCTCTTCCATCGACTTAGTGCCAAGACCATTGTTTGGACAATCAAAGATATCTACCACGAACCATATCTCGACCTCGATCCTCTCTATCGTCCGTCATTCGCAGCTGTCGGTAAATTCATATTTTGAGATGTGCCTATGGTCTTACCCCTCTGTTCATCGCTTTTTCTTCGCTTGCGACGATTGCGCTGCGGGTCCTCCGAGGCCGTTTTTTCATCGATCTTGAAGCATTTTGCCTCGGAGGTGGCAGAGCAGAGAAACTATTCATAATGGATCATTCGCAGTTCTAAAAAAAAAAAAGATAGTCGGGGAAATGGCATAACGCGACGCGATGCATTCCGCGTCGGCGCGTAGGGTTTCAAAATTCTCACGCCTGATGTGGCGGTAACACCGCCCATAGTCTTTCAAACACAAGAATTTTCTGCTGGGACGGGACCGGTGCTGCACATATTCTAGAAGCGACTGCGCCACAGCAAAACGAACACCTCTAAAATAATTGTCTGACTTCCCATCTGGAGATCTTTAGAACCTTTCAGTTCCTTGTTCGGCTATGTCATCGATTGAATTTGTTAGAGCTAGTTAGTGGTGATAAACGATGATCAGGATACTCCCGCGGCGTTTCACACAAAATGACGCTTCCGGGTGACGCATCTGATACAGTTTAACCCAATGGTCGATAAACGAAGTTCTTCACAAGCTTCTTAAACCTCATGACAAGCACGATTTGGGTGTCTGGTATTTCGCAGACCGGATTACTTTCAATAGCGGGTGTACTTATGTTGTTCCGAACACAGGACAGGCCACCGTTACTCTCCGAAGGACATATGGTTCCGGGATGTGTCCACATACGGACTTAATTGTGCTTCATCAACCATGCTGCGTTCAGTGTTCACCCGTCACCAAGCCGCATACCTCTGATCTGACTGGCCGAGAATAACTTTAACCGCTAAATAAGTACTTCTCCAAGACTTCGAAAAACTAATATTGTAGATATCTATTCTAAGTGCGAATCATAAAATAAATATCATGGAAACAAATCATAACTCGTTAAAACTGCTGTTAATCATAAATCCATAGCATCTCTCTTCACGTGGCCATGAGAACCACATCTTAACCCCAAAAACACAGGAAGCCGTCAGTCAGTCTACCAGTTAGACTTGAGACCAATGATTTCTGTAAGGTGTTAGAAACTTAATGGATTTTACAAATCGGGATTCCGTGGTAGCTTACCAATTCCCAAGCCCTCATTACCTCCAACGTTCCAAAGCGATAGTTTATGGGTCTTGGCTACAAGAGCGACCTCGTAGCTCAATTCTCCACCAGACGGACATGGGAAAGTGCTGGTATCGTTCTTCTGGGCTCCAAAGTACCAGCCTGGGCCATAGATGAATTTATGCATGAACTTCTGATTGGCCGATCTAGTCGCGTTTACACGGTCAAATATAGCAATAACTTCATCCCTTTTATTTTTTTCGTTAGAGCCATGACTTGTTGTTGATGGAAATGCACACCTCTTAGGTCGATTCGTAGCAGTGCTTTTCTTGACTGGAGTGTCAAAACCTGCTTCCAACGACCAAACACTGTAGGCTGATGGGAGGCCCTCAGAGCTAGCATCTCCCGCATCCGAGATGAAATGGAACCGGCATCGTTTTTTTTTTCCATCCCAAGAGGAAAATTGAAGATCGACAAGGTTGACTCTTCATAAAATTCCCTCTCCTTCGGGTTAGTCGCATTAATCGGTGTACTCCATCACACCCGGGTGACGTGTTTCCCATCAGGCTTCTCGGATGGGTTTGTTTGGATGACGACATGGGTGGCTGTTAAGAGTGCATTCCCATTTGGAAGCCTTGCCGGGCAGATATCGATAGTCGGCGTTTCTCGACAACTTGCGTGGATTTCCACACCAGGAGTCAACCAGAGGTTAGCACCGCCGAAATTAATCGGTTCTGTAGGATAGACAAAATAAACCGATTCCGAAGGGGTAGGAATGGCGGCAGCACTAGTGGCCAAAAATATAAGAGCCGAAAGCAGGAACTTCATTGTGATAAAAGAAATTTTTAAATGATTAAGAGTGCGATGTTGGCTGATGATGCTTGTGAGTAGGATGGACTGGGTGATCGACTGAATAACAAAGACGAAAAGAAAATTAAGTATCTATATACACAGAGCCAAGATGAAAAAGCATCATAGAGAATCGTCACATATAGTTTAAACGTAAGGTTTTACACAATCAATTGCCCAGGGCGTAATGGCTAAGTACAACGCAGAACGGGCAAATGTAGAAACCCCTCGTTAGCGCGTTAGAACCAATCGCGCCAGAGCGCGTAATGCATTACACGGATGTTAAGGCGAGGAGCGAAGCACGTATCGCATGATTGAAGAGAAGGCTGTGTAATGTTAGGAGGATCTATGCATGAGAGCCGCGTTGGGCGGCAAGCAACGTCTCGATTGACATGACTCTTTGGGGTCGGGACCAGAATCCCTTGCAGAGGAATGAAAGTGTCGAAAGTGATGCACCCGACAGTTGGCCGTCGACAGTTCACCGTACATTTGCACTTCAGGACCGTTTGTACGGAAAAGTACTCTTTAGGACTCCCAGAAGAATCCCTTGCGGGCGTATCAAAGTGTCGAAAGTAATGCATCAATCCGCCGCTCGCCGCCGTCGAAAGCTCACTGTACATCATCTATTTTGTGTAAATTTTTCCGGACTTGCAAACCTATCAGCGTCGACTGGGAAAACGCTGAGGCTGAGTTGAAAGCATTATGGTGCCAAACGTCAAACGAGGCCGCAAACATTTCCTTGTTATCAAGGCTAATAGCATGGAATTCATGTTTTACTGAAGGGGCGGTCGATGTAGGTATGCTTAGACTAATCAAGCATTCCACAGCCTCAAATGTCAAAGCCTGCGGTGGTGGACGATTGTTAGATTATGTACGTAGAGTTAGGGTTAGCAGACGACACCATATTAATCATTCCCATATTGACCAAATTTATCTTCTTTGTGGCTGTTAAGATACGTCAGCAATGACAAGAATGTAAACATCGTGCTCCACTTCGCTGTCAGAAAGTAGTACTTAGTGAGACTTCAATAATACCCATTCGTTACCGGAAGATATTATCAAGCAACGGATTTAAGCGAACATAGTTACGGGATATTGATAGAGTAATAAACGATTCCCAAATCATTTGTCGGTTATTCAGGGATGGTAATCCGGTGAATGCCTGTGATATCCGCCTATCTGATTCCGGCATGATGCATCTCAGACTCTCAGCCAGAAGTGGGTGCAGTGCGCGCGCAGAATGGTTCGAACCCGGTGAAAATCTTGAGTCAGCCCTATCAGTCGCGCCTAGCACAGCAAGTCCACTGATCATCAGGCGTTCTGTACATCTGTATTCGGAATTGGGATCGTAGTTCTGTTCGAAAATCCACGGCAAAAGAGGATTCGTAAAATAATAAATAGAGACATCAAATCCACAAATTTAAAGAACTATTCATCGAGCAGTCAGTCCAGAAGTCCCAGCATCAAATACCGCAGCCATCAAGATGTTCTACACCCTCTTCAGTCTATTCGTCCTTGTATCAGGCGTTACCAACGCTCTGCCCCAGTTTGACCAAAGTGCCTGGAGTGGCTCCCACGACGCTGACGTTTTTACCCCCGGCATCATCGTTGACCCTCGCTGTGCTGCCAGCCCTTCAAACAATGTCTGCCCGGCGAAACTTCAGAGCGGAAACGCCCTCGTCACAGCGACTCATATCAACATCAACGAGGACATGAGCGTAGCCAAGCCGAGCAAGAACATCATCCGTGCCGGTTGGTCGTTGTCACAGAGCCTGGGTGCCCTCACTGAGGAGTCTACCATTGCTCTCTTCGACTTCCCGCATGGAATGGAGAGCAAGCAGTGTCGATTCCAGTTCGTCTCCGATGATGGAGACCGTCTTGACGGTATATCGGATGTCTACAATATCTGGTCATTCAGGAAATGGGGGCCTAAGCCGACAGCTATGACTACTTTCTGGAACAAACCCCAAAGGTAGGATTTTCATATAATTCACGGGTTTTTTGAGTGTTTACTGACAATCGGGCAATAGGGACCAGGTGGTGGCCACCTTTACGACTTACCTAAAGGACAGCCTTTACAAGACCACGAACGAGAAATACGTCCATAGGTTCTTCTTTGGACCGGGCGGTGAGGAAGGAAGTTTCCCGTGTCCATCGGGTGGCCAAGTAGCCTGGGAAGTTGCGTCGGCTATCAAGACCAATGCCATTGACCGTATCATGAACATTGGAGGTGCCAGTGGATTAGGAATTGGTAAGATACCATGAATTTATTAGTATGAAGAAACTTAGTTGACAATATCTAGAAATCCTCGGTATGGACTCTAGGTGGCCCATGCAGAAATAGGCGGAATTTAAGCTTGTGGTATTTTGATAATGCATGACTTTTTAGAGATAGAGATTGCTGAGCTTTTCTTACGCATAGCCTGAGCTTGTATGAAGTTTTTTCTTTATCGAAATTGATACTGTGATGAAATGAAGCGTTTATGAATTCATGATTGTGATATTGCAATTGATATTGCACCGAAAGATGGAACCCAACCAGTGCTTGCAGCGTTACTCGTGGTTTTTCCGAAAGAAGCCCTAAACTTGTACTGGGTTTACCAGAAAAAAAACTTTGCACCGTTTCGCGATTCTGTCGTTTGGAGTCTTTGGTTCCACCGCACGGTACAGTAGTGGCGGATTTAGTGGGGTTCACCACTAAAACGTGAGATAGCTAATAAATACTAACATGAAAAAAGACCAAATACATGCATAAGTCATCAAGTAGTCTGGTTGGCTCAGTTGGTAGAGCGTCGGTCTCATAATATGACTTTCACACAGTGGAAGATATCCGAAGATCGCGAGTTCGATCCTCGCACCGGACATTTTTGTTTCTACCCATTGCCACCCATGCAGACACTGCTTATAGTATTGAGCATTCAGATTTTTACAAGAGGTACATGATCTTGCTTTTTACAGCGAGCGGGTTACGAACAAACAGCATTCACTTTAAAACCATCGAACATGCTGGAATGGATTGGTTCATGACCGCATAACAGACGAAGTAATGACGACCATTATTACAAGGAATGCACGAACTCGCAGGGCAAGATGTTAAAGCCATATCGGGGGATATCGTGTGCAGACGTTATTAATTGTCCCGGAGAAAGATAAATATGTGAAGCCAGCACAGAACAGCATGGATAAATATCTATATTGCATTTGAGTAGAAGTACTGCCTAAAAATGATAACTTTGTTCATAGGACAGGCACTTCAGTCTAGCCATTTAATCTTGACAAGGCGACAATTCACATTGTCTTGATACCAAGCCCGCTACAGAGCAACATAATATTGATACAGCCGTGATTTTAACTCGAACTTAACGTCGTGAATCCCGGTTTCTTGTTCTGTCATTGTCTCTCCGTTGACTCCTGCTTCTGCTTCTTGATCTCCGACGATCATCGCGCCTGTGGCGGTGTCTGTCCCTACCCTTATCTTCATCTCTACCTCTCTCTTTATCTCTGTGACGATGTTCTCTCCTTGGACTCCTCGACCGATGGCGATGTCTACGGTCCTCACCACCACGACTACGGGAGCGGCTTCTGTGTCTTCTTTCCCGTCTATCACCCCAATCCCTATCCCTTCTATCACGTACCCTTTCCTCCCTAGGCCTCCCCTCCCTTGACCTCTCGCCTCTTTCTCTCTCTCCCATAGCTCGGTCCGCCCGTGGCCTTTCCTCTCTCTCCAATGCAGCAACTCCCGATTTCCCAAACCCAACTCCCTTCCCCTCCTCATCATCATCGCCCCGAGCGTCCTTGATAGCACGCTCCACATCCTTCTGATCCAAACTCTCTCGTCTCATCTGTACCGGATACCCCAAAGCCGCCGCAAGTGCATCCTGTTCCGCCTCCTTGATCCTCCGGATCTCTTCCTTTCGTTGTTCCTCCGCATCTGCATCGCCACCACCAGCCTTAGAGTACCACGTTAAGTCCTTTCCTCTCTGCCATCGTCCAACAGGTGCCATAAGACTGTGTCCAAGGTAGTTTTCGCGGTCTTTATCTTCCTTCACTGCATCCCAGCTGAATTCGGCGCGTCCGCCGCGGGAGCTGTCGCCTTTTCTGAGGCCGGAAAGAAGGTCCATCGTGTGTCGTCGTTATCTCGGAGTGCGTATAAGAGTATGTTCGTGGCAATTGTTCGATCGGAGGGGGAGGACGAAGTTTCGACGGTAGTGGAGAAGTGGAGGTAGTTGGGTGGAGCTTGGAGTAGGTGGGGTGGACTCAGGTTCTCAGATTCATGGGTGGTTGGTCGCGACTGGATGAACCCTTGCCCTCAGAAATGCACGACGCGCGCCTTACACTTCCGCGACAGCTTTGGATCTCTGATATCTGGAGCCTTACCACGGAAGCATTACAGCATTTCTTGGACCCCAATACGGATCCATAGATACGCTATCCCTGAGTAGAGACACTCAGCGAAATCTCGATCCTAACGCCAACACTATCGCTAAAATCAAACCGAGCGCGCGACATAGCAACCATGAGCAAGACATCCAAAAAGGCTCGCCAACCAGCTCCCTCAGTGCCGAATAGTGTCCGGCGCTCTGCCAGAGCTCGCGAGGCGCCTAAAGATCCATACATCGAGACCTTAGCAATAGAGGCCGCAACTCCAAAGAGGAAACGTGTTTCAAATGGACCGGCAAAAACCAGGAAGAAGAGGCTCACCACAGAGGAACTATGGGCACCGGAGAATCTAGTGACGAAGCACTCGCCGTTTATTAGTGCGGATTTGAGTGTAACTTGCCCTCACTCAACTCCTGGTCAAGGAACAAGGCTGATAGTTATAGAAAATTCTAAATGCCGTGCTCCTGTCGAGAGACAATATGTCTACCGAAGACTACGATTCTTTGATAGCCCTACTTCCCGCCGAAGATATTATCTATCCGTCGGTAGAAGATCTTTCAGTCCCTGATCCAAAACCAATGATAAATCCCACCCTCTTCGACAGCATGTCATTTAAGGAGGCCATTCGGACATACCAAGAGAACCTCGAAGCCGGAAAATACGAGCCCGAATACATCAAGAAGGGTAAAGAAGCTCGACGACGTCGTATCAACGGAGATTTCGATGCCTGGAAGGATGAGGAATTTGAGGTGCATTGGGGGGACAAGCAGAGGGTTTATTACGGTTCGGTCGCCGGTGAAAGTAGCAAAGTAAAGTTACAGGATCTGGCAAAGCACCATCAATTTAAGATTGGGGATATATTCAGTCTACGAAGACCCTTTTCGGGTGGTCCGATGGTCAGGAAAGACGCAACTGTAAGTGCTGTGCGAGAATGAATGGGACTAGTACTAATTGTGAGGCAGCTCACGGAAATTGACGAGAACACTGGAGCAATGTCATTCAGATACCCATCAGGAGAAGCAGAGTGGGAGAAGGATGGCGTTAAGAATAAGACAGTATCCAAAGTCGTCAGTCTCACTGCATTAGAAATACTGCTGCTCAAAGAGGATGGAAAAGCACCCACATTCTTCAAGGAGAGGGGGATGAAAATACCAAACGGAAACGCATGGAAGACTGTACGAGTTGTTCGAAATGGAGAGGATATTGGTTGTGTTTTCGACGTGCGCGCGAAATTCTGGAGTCAATATCTGAAAAATGACAATTAGGGATACCACGTGTTAGAGTAATAGGGTGTTGGGTGTTACTGGTTGTTTCATGGCTTGGGATCTCTCCTTCTATCTTTGTTTAAGTAATAAACGAGATAGAACAGCTGCTGTTCTAATCATTACTCCACCCCAATTATAATACTGACTGCAATACAAGCAAAAGGGCTCAAATCCAAATCATAGATGACCAAACGAATAAGACTTGGCAGGCACAGAATGAATGCAATCTCTAGCTGTCGTCAAAATTTGCTCGATGGGGAGGACTTAGAGACACCCAAGACCCATCACTAATAACTAATCGTACAATATAAAAACGCTAACAATCTACAAAATCCAATACGACCTTCCATTAAAAAACTTCCATTAAACAACTTCCAATATGAATAATCCGATGAAATTATTGCCTGTATTTTCATTAGCTCTGCCATTTACAGCACTCGGTTAGTAACTTACAACAAAGCCAGCGTCAAATCACCATGAATTCTCGCCTTCAATGTCACCTCAATCTCTATATTGATATCCAATCTCAAACTGATGGGATCCGACTTCCCCTCCTTCTGTGGTTGCTGCTGTTGTTGCTGCATAGGTTGTTGCTGCTGCATCTGTCCAACCTGATTCTGCTGTCTTTGTCGCCTCTGCCTTTGTCCTCGTCCCTGTTTCCTTCTCTCTAATTGTCTATCCTCTCGCCCAACGTTATCCAACTCATCACCAAGCAGCTGTCGTGCGTTGCTTTGTTCGCGGCGCTCTCTTTGTCTACGCTCTGGCTGCGGGGGCCGTTCATCGTGATCCGGTTCTGGGGCGGGTTCATGCTCGCTATCAGAGTGGTGGTCGGTTTCATGGTGTTCCTCCTGCTGTTCGGGGTTTGCGGAGACCTCAGGGCCTGGTTGATGTTGTTCTGTACCGGAAGATGAAGGACGGGAGTCATGGTCCTCGTGGTCGGATCCTCCCATTCCCATGTTGTGGTCTTCGTGATCGGACATGATTGTGTTGCTGTGTTTGAAAAGGTTTTATCGTGATCTGGGAGGGTTTCGACGACGCATTTCGAGTACCTTTGAAATTATATTCCGTGCTGAAGAATTGGGATTCTTGTTTTCGGCGCGGGGGGTACGTCATGTGGAAGTCGGTGATGGGCGATGAGTATGGAAGTGATCGGCGAGATGGCCAAGGAAAGTGGGAGTGACGCTGTGTAACAACGGTGCCTGGATATCGATAGTAAACGAACGTCATATGCGTTGTAGATGTTCTAGTTGCGTTCCGTGGATGGTGATATGTCTCACTAGCGATTAAGGTTAAAGACACGATGTTTGCGGCATGTCGAAACGTCAAAATAAGGGTCTCTAGCGTTGCAAAGCCGTCGCCCCAGGGTATATTTAGAGCACAACTAAGCTTTCCATAGCAGTTTGGAGCCGTTCTTAGGCCAAAGCTGCCGACGGAACTCTTTGCCGACCACGAAACCACCATCTCCTTGTCGAAGGTCTCGCCTTCTTCACAGATTCCCTGTCTGCCGAGAGTATTTATAGCTTCCCATCAACAGGATTGAAAGTTACAGAATGATCTCCACTGGTGTAACCGACTATCTAGCGTCAGTGTGAGGTCAGAGAGCCTACAGAAACCGGTCCATAAAATCATCCATATCTTCCAAAGATCCATATCCCGAACCACCAACTCTTGCTGTGTTGTACAAATTTTCATTTACATCGTCGTTTCCTTCAAGTTTTCTCCCCAAAATCCTCGTAGATGACGCGGCAAACCAACATGTGAAACTACACAACCCAGTCTAGAACCAAGTCTGTAGTTTGAAACCTAGGGCGCCCAGAGTCAAGTTGGGAAAACGTAGAGACAGTGATGCTTAATCGCCTGATGCTCTTCAGGTACCACATCTATAGGCCGTAAAAAACTAATATTTATATCCACCTCCGATCTTAAGGTTCGAAAATGTCACAGTCCTAGCTTGACATAGTCTACATATCACTTCCGACACTACTTTTTATCACAACTTCACAAACCATCACTATCATCATGTCTGACCAGCAACAACAGCAGCAAAAACCCGAGCACAAAGAGGAATCCGGTCCCGAGCACAAAGAGGAGTCCGGTCCCGAGGCCAAAGACAAAGCCGCCCCTGAGGTCGAGCCTTTGAAAGGCGACGAATCCGATGCCGAAATCTCCAAGCGTCTTTCCGCCATTATCGACAGTGCCAATGAACGCATCAAGCCTTT